ATACTATAATAAATGTATGTATACAATACAGTGATGGCACAAAGGAGAGAAGAATCAATTCTGTCTCTAGTCTTTGCTACTTTGAGACTCTACTAAATTACTTCCCTTCTATTTTTCATTTGTAAACTTGGTACAAAACCATTGTGAGGAAGAAAATTCAAAGGAAACACGAGAGTATTATACAATTGCAAGGGATAACACACTCTTGATGGAAGTTCTTTTCCACTTCTAGAAGTGGCCTGACTCCTGAAATTCCTCTACCCCTTCTTTTTCCCTTGGATCACACTCTTTAAGCATTCAAGGGAAGTGAGAGAAGCAAAGGAAGGTGGCAAGGTAAAATGTGAGAGTAGGACAGGGCTAGTCCACAGGGTGCGCAAGGAAGGTGGGAAAGAAAGGAAGCCTAAGGAAACCTCTCAGGGGAGGTCCAGTTGGGATAAGAGAAAAAAAGGCTGCAGAGGAGAGGTAGAACAGATCGGGCAGGAAGGAGAGGGCTACCAAGGGCAGTCTGGTTTCCTTCAGGCTGACCCCTATACCTGACACTTCCAGATAGCTGTCATCACTCAGGCGGCAGGCCTCAGTCAAAGCAAGAAACAGGCAGCCAATGGGATCCAGGGGGTGGCCCACCCAGCCTTCCAGGTTTGTGATGGTTGTGGTTCCTCTCTGCAACAGTTCTGGAAACAAGTGGGTCAAAGTTTTAGAGAGTGATAAAAATACATTGCTCTCTCTCCCTGCCTGAGTCTCCTCAGTCTCTTTGAGGACCTGGCCCTGAGACTCAAAGAAAGCATCCCTCAGTCTTGCCTTGGATTGATAGGACTGGTTATAAGCTTATCAGCCAGCTGTAAGGACTTGTGGTCTGCATTTGGGCTCCCTGCTGGCCGTGCACATATGTAGATACAGCTTTACAACTTAAAAAGGGTTTTCTCATATCAGATCTTAGTGGGCCTTCCAACTGCCCTCTGAGGGAGGCATGCTGGCATTATTATTCCCATTTCACAGATACAAAAATAACAAAACAACAAATCAGAGGTAAAGTGAAGCATTTTACATAGCAGGTAGAATGACCTGGCATCCCCTAGCCCCGCCATACCATGAAACATAATGAACATTAAGGACTACAACTTGTGGCCTCTGAGGTTTCTCATCAGCCTCAACCTAAGGAGTTAAGATGGCTCCTAATCACTGTACCTTTCTTCTGATGCTTGTAGATTTCCAGCTGTCGTTGCTGCTGCAACCTCAGAGTATTGATAATGGCCACCGTGAGTCTAAGGGCCTCTTTTGGATAACCATGGGAACGTAGGGCATCAACCCGAGCACAGGCTGTAGGCACATGCTCTGCCAGATGAGAAGAAAATATTTTGGTTGAGTTAAATTTTCAAATTAGGAAAATTCATGCTTGAGAAAGGGAGTTTATGTTTTGTTCAGTTCCTCAAATTCAACCTGACAT